CAAAGGCTAATATCCGCACTTGATCTTAGCCAAAAGCCCGAGAAGGGATCAATTGCTAATATCCAGATAAACCATTCTAATTACTGTAAAAATAAAGTTATGTTTGCTGTAACCTTAAATTCAATCAACAAAATCACAAGGGAAAAATTATCTTCTTCGCTGAAAATATTTACTTTAAAAGATCTAAGTTGAATCAGGGAAGTAGAGGAAATTCTAAAGGTTATAATTACAGCCATCTTAGCCTTAAATATTCTTGGGCTGCATATGAAGGACAAGGTAGGAAAAGAACAGTGATAGGCAATCTAGTGTCTTGGGTGAGAACCAGGGATTAGGAGTTTGCAAGTGTGGTTTCAATGTTGACACAAACAGGGCATGTCTGACCTTGGACAAGTCCATAAACTTTGCTCTCCTGTATCTTTACCTTGGAAAGGAAAATGTAGAGGTTGAATTACGCAATCTCTGAGTTCCCTTGAAACCTTAAATTTTACAAGTTAAAGTAGTCTCCATCTAAAAAAGCCTTTCATTTTCTGATACTTAATGACTCATGCTCAGCTATGTTTACTTTGTTCATGGGCTATGCATACCCATTTAAAGTAATTCTACTGTACTAATTCAATTAAGTATCAAGAAGCATGAGTTTCAGAAACTGACATTAGAACTTAAGGTCCCAGGATGATTTTGAATATCTTTTTTTTTTTTTAAATATGTTATATGTCTTACATATAACAGTTTCATTCTGAACGTTTTGCTTGTTCAGTCGGGTTACACCTTATTCATTCAGAGGCCATTTTATTTGCTCCATGGTGAGTAACTAATAATCGCAATAAAATAAAATTCCACTAACCTAAGAGTTAGAGGAGAGTTTGGATATTGGCGTGTTGATCTTTTTAAGCACCCCCTCAAAAGCACCTCTCCCCCTCAAAAATCTGTTTCCCCGAGGTTATCCGGAGAAATGAAAAAAACCTGAGAGAACACAAAAACACACTTTTCAAGTTATTCCCTTGAGGGTCACTGTAAACTTAAAAAAAAAAAAAAGTGAGAAGGTAAATTTGCCTGTGTTGATTATTCTGTTTACAGTTTAATGGTTTATTGGTTCAACTGAGAGCTGTTGTCATCATGAGGGACTGTTAGTACATTGGCCTGTTTGCTGAGTCTAGCAAAATAGAACATTTTGCTTACCTTCTTTCCTTTGTTCCCAAAGCTAATTGCTAAGCATTTAACAAAAGCCCCTGTTAATAACAATGGAGGGCCGTCATTTGAATAAACAAAATCTTAACTCTGAAATCACAAGCAATATTGATCCTTTATGGCTGTCAGCTACCTACCTATGTGAGTGGAGTGTAGGTAAGGCTAAGACCCAAATCTCAGGTGTTTTTCCCTTATGTGGATTTTTTTTTTCCTGTGTAGATTGTTGAGGCAAACTGGTTGGACCCATCCTTATAGGCAAGGAACAATGTTCCCATTCCAGAGACTTTATAGAACTCCATCCTAAGAACATCCGCAGTGAAAACTTTACCTTCACTTCTTTCTTAGCTGTTTCCACTGTTTCCACCCTAACCCTTTACTCATAGCTTTTTTGGAAGAGAATCTTACTTCTGTACTTCACCTTCTGCTTGCTTTTGGAATTCCAAGTATAATTGTTTTAGTATAAATTTTACCTTAATTTTCTAGGTAGTCTAATTTCATATTGGTAGATGCATATAAACTAAAGAATTAAAATTATTTATGTGAGTGTGCATTTCTATAAAGATATGGATATGCTGAGGTCTGTCAGTCTCTATATTGTTATAAAAATAAGAATTGCTGTCCATCTCCATACAAACAGACAACTTTAACGGACTGAATTTCTAAACTCATCAGTACCTAATGTTTTAAGCTTGATTACATTGGAGAAAGCAAATCATTTCCTAATTCTTGAGGAAAAATACTTGGAAAAGCCATTACAGTGTTATTGAAGCTTAGGTACCACTTAAAATTAAAGTTTTAAATTTTAAACTAAAAAGAAATTGATAGCTAAAGTATGTAACACTGACTCTCTCGCAGGACAGAAATCAAGGAATCACCATACCAACCTCAAATAACAATTATCACCTATTATTTTAAATTTATTTAGAGCATAATGTAAAAAGATTTTTTGTTGGGGATACTGACTTATAGTAATACTAAGAACATTTAACATGGCCCCCAAAGAAGCTTTAATACACATAGGATTCACCTTTTATCACCTAGAATCTAGTCAAAATTTGTCAAACTGTCTTCGTAATTGATCTTATTAGGAATAATGTCATGGAAATCTTTAGTGAAGGGGTGATTTCTATTTTAATTATTTGTTTCCCCCACCACACCATCACCTTTAAAATTTCTCTTCATCAGGAAGTTTATTAATTCAAAGATGCTTAATGCAAAAGAAACTTAATAAAGTAAGACCAAAAAACCTGTAGAGTCTCTTGCTTAAGTGACTTGGCTTAAGTCATTTATAACATATAAGCATGTACACACCTGTCTTCTCAGAAATTTTTGGAAATGTTGATAAATGTTACCTCACAATCTAAGTAGCTAAGTAAATATACTTTTTATTTTTCATTTTCAGTAACAGGAAATTAATCCAATACAGATTAATATCTTGCCAATTTCTTTGGCATCTAAATTATTGCTAGCTACTGCATTCCGTGATCGTTTTGTATGTATCTTATCATATTTTCTGTTTGGAAGAAAATATTCTAATTGAATTTATCTTAAGTGTGGATGAAAGTGAATAGCCGTAGTCAGGTTTAACCCCTTTGGGACTACTCTTGGGAAAGAAAAGTCCAAAAATATATTAGTTTTAAATCTTACATATGTGGCCAAAGATAGCCCACCTGACATCTTTTAGGATGGTAAACCAACAAATAAACGAAACATGAGCAACATGTGAACAACAAAAAAACTAAGCCGTTTACAAATGCTTCCTTCCAAGGAGACACAGTGTTCTGTGATTATTTGTGAGACAAGTACGCTAATCAGCGAGTCACATTTAGGCTCCCGTGACTTTGTGACAGCATCTTTGTCTGGACGTCTCTCCAGTCTAAGCTGAAGGCCCCACAGAAGCTAACCTGAAGTTAGCAGAACTATCATGAGCTGTGCCTGAAGAGACACCTCCATTCTGGAGAATGTTTAATTGAGTGAAAACTAGCATTTTCATTGACGAGAGCAGAATCAATAAGTGGTCCCTAAGGTCATCTTTACACAAGCTCAAATTTTTTGGTGGTTTTTTTTTTTAACTGTTTTTAGATTATTTTCATAGTACTGCTTTTAAAAAACATATTTTGAAATAGACAATCGGCTTACTGTTGGGATTAAAAAAAAAAAAAACAACCATGTTCAGGCTGTCCCATCCCATTGCATTACTGATTAGAGTAATGCAAGTAATTGGAGAACTTGACAAAAATCTCATCATAAAGTTTGTGATCTGTTTGATTTTAAAACTAAGCAAATACACATTTTCTCCATCATGCAAGGTTGATGGTCCATTTTAAGAATATGTTTCGTTCCAATTTAATTTTTTTACTGGCTTATGGCTTCTTTATGAATATGTTCTGAGAAGAATCTATGTATCTATCAATCTATCTGGCCATCTCTCAATCTATCTATCTGTCTATCAGTCTATCTATCTACCTATCCATCTGCCTACCTACCTACCTATCTACCAACCTACCTTAAGGGAATTTTTTCAGTTCTTTATAAAATTACTTTCAACTAACATATCGATATAATGAAAACACATCTTTTGGAAATTTTAAGATGGTATTTTTGGAGACTCATAGATCTGTAGAAAAGTACGCAAAACAATTATTCCAAAATGCCAGAGTCACTATTACTTAGAATGTGTAGAAACCCATTGGTTTAACAGGAAACGTAAAGGTTCTTAATAGCCAATTTTTTTTAGCCTTAACATTATCAGAAAGGATTACAATAATTTACCATCAGTTTAAAGGCACTTTGGCTGCAATCATCATCTTGTAGAAATCCTCACTGAAAAGCAGCAAACAGGGTTCAGCGGATTGCTGTAAGTCATCTTTTCAATGTGAGACGCAGCTAATTTACAACATGGCTATCTAACGATTAAAAACCATCATCTTCTTGTGGGCATCCCCCCCCTCTGGCCCCGCCCCAGCCCTCTGAGCCAGATAAGTTTACGTTCTTAAGCATAAAAATAAGCAATATATCTTTTCAATAAATCTGCTAGCACTGTAGGGCAGCTGTGAACCAAGCAGAGCTGGGTAGGGTTACTGGAACCCTCTTCTGAAGGGCAGAGCTGATGATTCCGAGATCTGGGAGGAATTTGTTTCTGCTTGTACTCAAAGCATTCCTTGCTCTATTCCGATGGGGTAAAGTATTTTAAATGCCATTACTCTGAGTTTAAAAATGAAAGTAGAAGTTCTTATCAACTCTTCCTAAACAGTGCCACTTTGGCTAAAATAAAATTAGGAAACATCTAAAATAGAGAGTGCCTTGATGCTTCTAAGCAGGAGCTAGGGAGAACTTAGAGGTGGGCTTTGACTCCTCTGAACTGCATGTCTCCTGTGTTTTGCAAACCGCATGCTTGAAGTTATTGATTATTTTGCTCAGTGCAGATGATTTGGTATGCTGCCTTAAAAAAAAGCTTTTTTAATTTTCTTCCTAAAATATATCTCTCTATTGAATATTAACGTTTGCTTTTGTTTCAGCTCAATTTGTGCTCTAATAATGGCTAATTGTGATGTTCTAAGCACTCGTTTCTCTCGTATGCTTTAATTAATAGAGAAGCATATTGCAGTAGCTTTTTCTTAAAAAACAAAGAGTCTGGGAAGTTTTGCTTTGCAGAGTAAGGTTTTCTTTTGCTTTTTTTTTTTTTCTTTAAGTTGCCTCTTGGGAAAGTAAGGTTAATGCCATGTACAATACTAGTTTGCATGTGTTCATTTAAATACTAAAAACTGTAGTACTGCTCGATCCATATCTGACTGCTAGGTTTCAATTGACAGCTGAGGATTTGTGACTGGACCATGAATCAAAACGGCAGGCATTTATACCCCAGTACCAGTGAGGATACATTGGGAATTACTTGGCAAAGGTAACATTTTAATTATTTCCAACCCTACACTTACACCTAAAAATTACATGAGCTATAGTGTTTGTTTTTAACTAGCTTGACGGAAAATATATGTTAAAAATTTAGTTGTTTTGGCTTTACCATCCCTCTTTCCCTCCCCTCCTGCTTTCTTTCTTATGTAAATGAATCTTCAGATTAATTTGGGACTGTAGCCTATGCTAATTGATCATTGGAATTTCTAAGTGGTGTCAAATGTTTTCAACAGTTTATAAATTGGGGGAGGGGGTGGGGAGGAGATTTGACACTTAGATCTCAGGACCTGAAAACTGAAATCGTAGTTCCAGGGAAGATTTTTCAGCTGTTTGAGGTTTAATAAAGCATTGGTTTTTTGCATTATAGATTCTTCTCTTTTCAGCTCTTTCCTTTCCTGCTTACTTTGAACCATTTTACTATTCATTTATTCCCCTGTCAGAAGGGAAAAGCTAGGACAAAACTTTCCAGTTAGTCAAGTTAACTGTTATCAATCCACTCATTGATTTAGGGGTCAGAAGATTGTTGAAATCAATAGTTAAAGAAGGAATTTGATTGAAATAAAGTTTTAAACTCTGATCATTGATATGAATCATTGAGAACTGAATTTATTTGGTTGGCTGAGAAAATTATGCTGAAACTTCATTTTCAAAACTAGTTTTGATATTGTCTCATGTATTGGTTTTGGAAAGTAAGTAGTGCTAAGTCTACTTCTTATGTATTATTTTAATAAAGAACAAATTGTGTCAAATGGACAAATTAAATAATTAAAATTCATGGCATAATCATATGTAATAAAAGATAAAAATTTATAGAAAAGAGTGAGGTAATCCCATAAGGAGTTCACCAAAAGTAGAGCCAACATAATTTTCCAACCCTGTTATAATTTTAATCCCTGTCTTAAAATTACATACTCCAATATCAGTTGTAATCGTGCTGCCCATCTCCATTTTACTTGATAGAGACTATTGAAGAGTAGAGTTAAAAAGAATTCAGTTAACAAAATGTCCACTTTTACTCAGGTGAAAACCATGAAAATTATTTAGAGTCCATTTTAAAAACTTCATGAGTTTTTATTAATACATTTCCTAAAATGAATATGATATGACTTTTTCTCTTTTTAAAGATTGGTATAATATCCACTTTACAATGTATACATTTTTATATATTTTAATTTTTTTCCCCAAGAAGCTTATATAATTCCTCCATTTAGGAAAAAAAAAATACAATATATGCTTATAAAAAAGAAAATAATCACAAGGAAACCATCTTTTAAAAATAGTTTTAGTAAGAATATGAATTAAATCCAATGAAACTGTGGTCCAGTGGTCTTAATTATTTTTAAGTTAACTTAATTGGATTTGAGAACACCATGTTTGGATTTAATTTTATTAAATAACTTCCCTATAGTCTATGTTCTCTCTGTCAATCAGCAGAATGGACTGTGTCTGTGTACAGGCCTTACCGTATTTATAAGAATTGTTAAGTCAGATGAAGTCTACTCATGTTTTTGGTTTTGTTTTGTTTTTTAAAGATTTTATATATTTATTTGACAGAAAGATCACAAGTGGGCAAAGAGACAGGCAGAGGAGAGGGAGAAGCAGGCTCCCTGCCGAGCAGAGAGCCCGATGTGGGGCTCGATCCTAGGACCCCAAGATCATGACCTGAGCTAAAGGCAGGGGCCCAACCCACTGGGCTACCCAGGCACCCCTCTGCTCATGTTTTTAAATGTGGCTATAGCTGTGTGAACTTCTAAATATGTGGATTATCGATTGACATTTACTTCTCTAAAGTGGGTTAGTACCTCTATAAAGAACATGAAAGCCAACTAAAGATATAATTTATTGTGATTTGAAATAAAACTACACCCAGTTCCTAGTCATTTTTTGAATCAAAAGTTGATATCCCCGGAAGGCGAAAGGAGAGTCCCCACAGAACTCATGGATCGGGATGAACTGATATGATGACTAATCCCAGTTCTTAGGAGAGAGCATTGTTCATGGTACAGAATCCCCTCTGGTTGAAAAAATTGGAGTGGTAATCAGCTTCAGGTTAGAAAGAGTTGGAAAGAAATTCACAACTCATTTTAAGATTTCCTTTCTTCCCCTCCCAAAGATTCACTTTTTTGATTAGCTGATAAAGATACATAGGATGGATTTAATATTTCAGAAAGCTTTAAAAATGTAGCTTTTGGTTTGTTCCTTTTTTATCGTGATTCGGAAGGCACATCATCGATAATGGCGGCCATCACAGTCATGCATTCAACAGGTATTTATTAAATCTGGGGTAGGCTGTCCCAAATGTTGGGTGGCTGATGTAGGTGCTCACAGTTCTGAAAACCTAAATATCCTGCAGTTTACAATAAATATGTTCAAACAAGACAGCAATTTGCTTTGCTTTGTTGTAGTGTTTTTTTGTTGTTGTTTTTTTTTTTAATGGGCAAAAGTTGAGTCCATATCTGATAGTACAGATAGACCCCTGTCTGTGGCACAACATATATTCATAACATACTCATGGTCTGTGCTCTGTGCTTTTTTATGAAACGTCATGTGTGTGGTTTTTTTTTTCCTAGAAAAGATTTTGAAAAAGGAAATCATAAACTTCTGCAATACTCCAATTTTTTTTAAGATTTCATTTATTTATTTGACAGAGAGAGAAATCGCAAGTAGGCAGAGAGGCAGACAGAGAGAGAGCGCGCGCGGGAAGCAGGCTCCCTGCTGAGCAGAGAGCCCAATGTGGGGCTCTATCCCAGGACTCTGAGATCATGACCTGAGCTGAAGGCAGAGGCTTAACCCACTGAGCCACCCAGGCGCCCCAATACTACTACTACTTTTAAGGCAGACAACAGACATCTAAAATCATCAGGGAACTGCTACAACTTTAAAATTATCTGATTAAATCAAAAATATCTGAGAAATGTAGAGCCATTCAACCAGAGAATTAAATAATCTGCCTTTGTCACAATGGAATAAAGAAACTATCAGGCTATTTTTGTGGTGGCAGTTGCTTTTTGTTTTCAACAAAAGGCAATCCCTGGAGACTTCCTAGTGGAAAAGGGCAAAGCAAAGGAGGTGTTTGGGTTTTGCTGTGTGTTTTGGCTTTGTTTTATTTTAGTTTTGATTGTTGTTTGTTGCCATTACTTTTCTTAGTACAATCCCTTGTCCGTGGTGGCCTCCCTTTCTGCTTTAAGCCGATTCTTCTGTAGATGTGTTTCCAAGTCACAGGCTGCACCTTGTGCAGGACTGAAAATGGCAGAGCCCAGAGAGCCGGGCCACTGTAATCAAAGCTGGAAGATTTCCTCCATCCTCCTCCCTCCCTGGCCCACCCCCACTCCAGCGTAGAAACAATCCCTTAGGATCTGAGGCTGACGGACTCCATCAGAAAGTTTTCACAGACTTACTAGGCTGCAACCCTGAAGGTGTTTTGTTGTTTTGACCTTAGAATTTTCTGAGCTGTGTGTGTGTGTGTGTGTGTTTGCTTGCGTCTTGAAAATGTGAATTTTTCTGTCTAACCCTAGGGTTCCTGCAGTTATGCCAGAGTGCAGTGCTTTGGGGAAGGGCTCATTTTTTGAGTCAGGAGGGGCTTTGCTCTCCGGAGGGTAGTAGGTGATGATTTGTGATGCCGTTCATAAGGGTACTGCTGTGTCTGTGCTTTGTCCTCCAATGGGGACAAATGACACTGTGGCATATGTGAGTTATGCGGCTACAAACAGGCATAGCAGTGAACTCCCTCGCTGGCTCGCTTTTTTTCGCAACTGTAGCCTGAACGTGGCTTGCACTATCGAGTGTGAAAGAGCAATGTAACTGAATGAAAAAGCAAGCCGAAGGACAATCCAAGAATAATATAAACATAAGTTATTTTAAAACACTGGAGGGAGCGCCTTATGCAAAAGAGAAACTGGCTTTATGGTTTCGTTCCCTCTTCTCTGCCTTCACCCCTTTCAAGAGAAGCAAAGCCACAAGTGAGTGGCTGTATGAGTCTGATGGCTTATATAAACCTAGAAGAAGCCTTCAGATGGCTAAAATAAACATGCGCGTGTTACTGAAGGACGTGTTTACACAAACCATTTGCTCAGCCTCTGAAATAATGAATAAATGAAGATTTCACGGAAATAATTGGAAGGATTTCTGTGTCTCTGCTGATGCCATAATTGAATGGCACCAAGGAGACTTTTATCAGGTACTTTCTACGTTACATGTGTTAGCAGTTCCTTTCTCTGAGTTGAAGACTTCGTTCTATAGTGACTTTACACGTGCTTTTGTAAGAAATTGTCGTTTATTACTGCAATTCTAGAGAGGCGCTTGATTTCCCAGGAGAGATTTAGCAGCCAGTAAAGATTATTGGGAACTGGTTGGTCAGGAGCAGGAAGGCAGAAAGGAAGGAGTAAGAGCATTCCTTTCCCACATAGAACCTTGTTTCCATAACACTGGCCTGGACCATTTGCCATCTCTGTGGCTTTGTCCCTAAACTGTTCTTTGTAAGATGCATGTCCTCAGTGACAGAAGAATGAAGATTTAAACAAAAACAATCTTCAGTATTGGGTCGCAAACCATGTTTGTATGTCAACACTGTGTGTGTGTGTGTGTGTGTGCGTATGTGATGTAGATGCACGCGTGTGTGCATGCACAGGCATACATGTGTGCGTGCATATATGTGTGTGCATATATGTACACGCGTGTCTTCACACATACTTAGACAGAGGGCCCGTATAGGGTGAGGACAGTATGCGTCCTGCCCCTAGGTAGTCTTAAGAGTTAACTCTTGTTTCAACATTACACTTAGACCATCCCTACAAATTCACTAGGTTAGCATTTCCTGCTTTCAGTTTGTTATCTTGACACCTAACTACAGCACAACAGCTGGGTTGTTCCTGGAGTTCCTGGGGGGAGCTTTATTTTCAGAGTGCTGAATTTCCTTTTCAGCTGTCAGCTCTAAAGTGTGCTCAAAACGTTCAACGTTTTACACACCACTCTGGGCCCCTAGCACCACTC